TACTTAATGATTATAGTTTGAAAGTTTTTGCTAGTAATGTTTAAACTTAATAAACTTAACATGTTTATTAGTTACTCTGCAATTGTTAAAACTTTACAGGTGAAATGCCAGAAACTGTTTTTTTTCAAATGGTTGATGATAACTCACTGAATGAGGCTATTAGAAAAGATCTTGCTTTTCTAATTATAAGAAGGTTATTTGATGGAGATAAGAGCACAAAGGGATAGAATGCATTAAAGCAATTTATAAAATATCTAAACTTACTTTTTATAATACATTAATAAAAAAATAAAAACCTCCTACTTGGCCTACAAAAATATTTAGAACTTGAATCAATGTAGAAAATTTTGATATTTAAAACTGTAATCAACTTCTTAATTACTGATTAGTAGTAATTCACAGGTTAGGAATTCCTTCGTTCTTAAAACTCTACTTATTTTCAGTTAAAAAAAATAGGCAAGGACAAAGGTGAATGATGATATTCCAAAACTCATATAATTTTATCTATAACTTGCTCATAAGATTTTGAATTTTTTAAGCGACTCATATTATTTGTAGTTGTATGGATAATTTTATTGCTCTGGATATGACTATTTTATATCTACATAATGCTAATATATCATAGTTACCAAATCCAGTTTTTCTCATCGTAACTGCATTTAATATACATGGTTCTTATAATTTTTAAAATACTATATTTTCTGGCTGGCTGATACGAATCATTTTATTATTAATGTTTACATTAACAATTTTAACTTGGGTGATAATTATGTTGCAACTGATAAAAAGTTTTTTATAATTCAATGTCTCCACATGAAGATGATGATGATTCTAATCTATTTCAAAATTTAAGTAAGATCGACAACTTCTTTTTTGAGATGACAATAAAGAATATATTAGATTTGTAGTTAAGCCGTATTTATTAACATTTAAATATCTAGCTCTATGGTTTATATTTTTTTTTTTTGTATTTATAATAATTTATTCATTAAAATTGCAATATATTTGCGAATACTTAGAATTGGTAGGCTTTTTATCAATGAATTCATTCCTAAGTGATTTTATAATACTATAACAGAAGTATTTTATCTACACTGGAGAAGGAGTTACTGTTTTAAAAAGTAGTTAATAAATACCTAAAATAAAAATAACAGCAATCATTTGAACTTTATCCAATAATTTGAAAAAAGTATAAGTTATTACAAATAACATATCAAACAAACATAAAAATTATTTAAAATTACAAGCTACTTTTATTATTATCCTTTAAATTAGTAATTTCAAGGATAATAATAACAACCAATAATAGTGAGCATCATTTTTAAACTCTTATGTTTTTTTATTACTAATATTTGATGAATATCTTATCAGCCATGGTATTTATATAATTTATAAGTAAGTTTCATCAATACAATTATTAATTTGTAATAAGCTCTATTTTAATTTGTTATCAGGGTTGATTAAGCTTTAAATGTTTAAGAAAAATGATGTATGATTATGACATGAATTATATAATTATACATTTTTAGGATATTTCTGATTCTGAATTTTAAATATTTTATCTATCAAAAGAATACTGTAATATATTTGGCACTTGAATTACTAAGAGTTTCTTTACTATTAAAGCTTTCAATAAAACAGTAATTTAAGTTCTCAAATTTATAATAAATTAAACTTTCATCTAAAATTCCACTAAAATATCTCACAGCTCAATGAAAATAATTTAAATTACTTTACATATAATAGGTATTAGAATACTATCAGTCTCATAATTGAAAGATAGGTGATTTGAACACATTTTATTTGTTTAAAGTTTATAATCAATAACTTATTCAACTCAAACATATCTTCAATACGATTTTTAGAATAGCCTTCTTTTGTTTGAATAATCATATTTTCTAGCAGGCACTTATTAATAAATTTTGCATTATCAATCAAATAATATATAACTCACTTTTAAATAGTCATTGTATAGGCCGTGATCTTTCTTATCTACATACTTCAATTCTTTTCCTACTCTACTAAGTATAAAACTTTCAAATGTATCGAAATACCTCTTGATTTTTTTTTATTAAGATATTTAATCTCTAAGAATTAACAACCCTTCAATTTAAAAGTTTCAACCACTAAAAAAATTGACTGCGTTTCGTAAGTTAGATTGTTTTAATCTTAAGAAAAACATATTTAGGAGATTCATTTAATTAACAAAAAGTAAATGTATTAATTCTACTTAAAAAAAATGTTATAGTTTTCTTTTAATTTGTTTGGACTCCTGATATAATGTTATATATAGATCTGTTTCCAAAATTTATTTTACAAAGAGAGGAAATGACTATAAAATTTTATCAATATCTTATTCAATATATCAGAGGTAAAAATTTTATAGAATGAAAAACAAGAATTAAGAAGTTGAAAAACAGTTTGATAAATAAGGTATGTTAATTAAAATGAAATTAGTATGATTACTAAAGATCAATTAAAATTATAAAAAAATATATATTTTTCATGTTCAGCTATTCGATAATTTTTATAGCTAAAATTAAAATTACCAAAGAGAATTAAAGAAGGTTGCAATTATAAAGTTAGATCAAATTACCTCTGAATAAAAACTCTAGAGAATTCTATTACTAAAAAATATCAATTTAAACTTTATAAATTTTACATGAATATAATTGAAGTGAAAACCAATTTAAATTTTATGAATAAACATTATCACTAT